TTGTCATATAGTACCTTTCATTAATTTAAAATGATCCGGTTACAATGAAATAACTGCCTTTTTGCGAGAATTAAATAAACACTTAAGAAGATAGATCCACATCTTTTGGAAAAACACGAAGAGTCATGGACTAAACCATATAGTTTGAAAACTTTCACTTTCGAGCCTAACGCTAAGGCTCGAACCACTTGTAAGGATTCGGATCTCACCGAACTTGTCCTTATGCAATCTTCCAAAGCCGGTGACATAGTCGCACTAGCTTCAGTTCGAGTCACCAATGTTTCAGAATTCTTGGTTTTACACTCATTCCTAAATTGCCAAAACTTGGCACTAGACACCGATATTGCCACTATCAATGACACTAACACAATGTGAAGTAAATGCCTTTCACAACTTAGCTTGATTATGGATTTAAAATCCCCTAAGGAGACACCATGGGCTAAACTCTCTATATTATCCTCAAAACCAGGCCGAATAAACCACCTAAAGTAGAGGAGCTTACGGATTGGACTAGCGGAGGAGACTTTCCGGTAAGACCGTCGGCGAGATTTTGAGCCACCGCCAGAGACGAGATGCACGGCGGATTTATACTCGGACTTGACTCTATTGTTGTAACGATATTGGAACTTTGACGCACAGCCTGAGCAACTCCCATAGATGCAAACTCGTGGGCCATGTGCAGAGACAAGGGTCGCTGGATTTTCCTCACCGGCAACCAAAACGACCGGATTTCCTTCACCGACAAGGGAGACGAGCAATCTTCGTGACAGAGCAGGAAAAAAAGCAACAACAACAATGGCTTTCTTGTTCTTAGTAGAGAAGGTTTTTCCGCAGAGGTGACCAACGGAGCAACCGGTAGAGTTTCGCTTGAAGAGATCTCAACAGCGGAAGAGGTGGAGGTCCACAACGACGGATAAAGAGCAGGCGGCGGATCTGGAGGCACAGGTGGTTTGGGAGGGTTTGGTGCCACCAGAGATGTCAAACTCGGGAGGTGGAAGACGGAGAGTAAGGATGACGCGGTCGGGTTCACCAGACCCCATGTCGAGAGAGCGAGAGCCGGATATGTAGCAATAGGTTCGGAGTCAAATTTCTGAGAAATAACGAAGGGGAGGGTCTCGCCGGTGACAAATCACGGTGGAGAAACGATCGGTGATGAACGCCGGTGGTGGAGACGAACGACTTAGATCTGGTCGGAGGAGTCAGGTTGGAGAAGATTCATTGTCGGAGGCACAACGCGGCGGCTGCAACCTTACCTTGGTTATCGGGCCTGGTTGTTGTTTTGCTCCTTAAGAATAAAGAATGAAGGGTTTAGTTTCAAAAAAACAAAAAAAAAGTGAAGGGTTTTTTACCCAAAAAAAAAGAATGAATGAGATTTATATAACTAAATTATATTTATATACGATTTTAGTGTTGTTTTTGTTTTTAAAAAATTAAAATTTTATAACTCAATTATTATTGAAAGTAAGAAACAACGAGAAAAAAAACTAATAAATATTAAAGTGAAAGAAAAATTTAGAAGATTAGGGAAATTTGTTCTTTTT